ATTGCACTCTGTAAGGTTTTCCTAATACTGTATTTATTAATAGAACAAGCTCTGCAGGTATTTTTAGACGGTCCAAATTTTTTAACTTCTTACATGTCAGCAGTATGTTTCCTTTGTGACCTAAAATGTCTGTTTAGCATTTCCATTGAGAAAAATGTTGAAACTGTATTCAAATATACAATTATTTTCCCTTTTATGGAGTAACTGGAACCATTTTTCAACAGCAGTCTGTTTATGAAGATTGAAGGGCATTATGCTGAGGAAACACCATTATTAGAGAGCACTTATCAGACACAAAACTAATAGAGGGAAAAACACACATGTGAGTTTCTACAGGATACATTATGTTGGCAAATCAATGAAATTAAACAGCCAAAGTGGACATGACACATCCATTTTCTTGGTAAAAGCAGGACTTATAAAGGTGATGAGAGCTGCTTTTTATTAAAAAAAAATTGTATTAGCCAAAGTGCATGTAATTTAATACATTTCAAAGCACGTCAGAATGGTTATGCAACAGTTATCTGCATCACACCAGCGTTTTTGCCAGTTTTTTTGCTTGTAGTGGAAAGAAAAAAAAACACCTCTACCCTTGAAAGAAAACACTGTAGGCATTTTTAAGCTCCAGAAACACAAGTAGCTACATGAGAAGTTGTCTTCTTCCCTCCACTGTGCTCAAATAGCTGTTAAAGCAACGTGTGCCTCCTTGTCAAGGTGCTCACATTGGTAAGTACCTACTTAGTTTCAAGAATCGGCTTTCCCATTGCCTTCATTTGTTTTTTTTCTTCGGCCTCATTTTGCATACATAAGGTTAATCCATGGGTAAGAGTCTGAAAATCCTGCCTGTGCTTGTATTTTTCAACAGGTTTAAACTGATACCTGTACCTGTAGAGACCATAAAACACATCAATGGTCTGTATGGACATCAAAGGTGTCACACCCATTTTGAATGGTACTGATAGCAGCTAGGAGCTGCGAATCAAGGTAACTGTGCATATTGGTGCTTCCTACACAAGATGCTTGAAGGCTCAAATACTACATGCATACATTCAGGATTCCATTTCAGGGATCAAAAACTTTGGAGAGTGTTACACTCACTGTAGCAGTAAAAGCAAATCTACTTAGTTTTTCTTTTCTGGAGGTAACCTAAACCCAAGAATCAGGAACACCAATTTATAAGCCTGTTGCCTCTAGAAATTCAGTTTGGGCAAAGACATGAATTGCCTATGCAGAACAGAGTTGAGTCCTGTCCAACAAGTCCTTTTGTTGTGGACTTGCCTTAGTGCCAAGCTTAAGGCTACGAAATAAGAGCAAGACTCAGAATTTCAGGTAACAGCTAAACCATCCCTTCTGATTTTATTACTTTGGTGGGTGCAAGTCACATTCTGTCCCTACACTTTGAAAACAAGAGAAGAGTGATACAGTGTCTCACCCAGATCAAGCTGCCACAGGCAATGTGTACCGCAGCCAACTCATTAGCACTTTGAATAAAAAAAAAACCCAAACCAAACTGTAAGTGCAGTATTAGACTGTTGTATGATGGTATTTACATCCATTGAAAGGGTGCCTTGATTTGAAAGGAAGATGTAGATGGCTTTTGTTTTTTCCTATTGAAAAAGCTGAAAGAATAACTGGCTTTTTAGTTGAGTTAGTTTCCAAGTATCAGGGGAAAAAAAGGGTATGTTGAGCTTAACACGTTTTGTGATTTTAACTTATCTTTAAAAACACCTTATGAAGGATAAAGACAGAAATAGACTTCCAAATGAAACTCTCCATAAATATTAACGTTTGGACATTTCTACCTTATTTTATTAATGTGTTGCAACTGAGAACATTAATTGTTGACTTTTACTTATCTGCATTTTTGGGCAATTTCTACATTCCATTTTCAATATTGCTTCTTTCCCACCCTCAAATTTTGTTCACAATTTACCAGACTGTCTGTGGAGATGCTGGAGTGCTGAAGGTAAAGGGCGAATTATCTTTATTCCATCAAAAAAAAAAAGTGAAAATACAGTTTTATCCAACTCCTTAAAATCAGATTTGCTTTTAGAACACAGACGCTGCCACCAGCTCTTGGTTAGATAAAGATCTTACCTTCTTCTGCCCCTGCTGGAGACATGTATTACATTTTCTAAAACAAAACTAGACAAATGGTTTCTTCACATTTTGCTACCACCTCTCTTCCCATACTGGTGAGGGAATGCTGCCGTTATACGCTGCTCTCAAATCTCTTAGCAACAACCATTTAGTTGAAAAATCTAGTGCGTGACCTCTTCTCAGATATCATTGAAAGGGTAAATAGTTTTAAAGTGACCACTGCTAGCCCTGAATTATACCAACAAAAACCTTGAAGCACAGCAAGCACTTGTACATTAACGCAGAGACAGGCCTCATTTACATCATGTGCATTGATTATGTTTGTAGCTGAAGGTGTGTATCCAACTGAATGACCATCTCAGATAGAACAAGCAGCAAGAAGGGCATTAGCTTCCATACTTGCTTTGAACTTGCTGCTAAATTTGGAAGAACTAAGAAAAGCATGTAATTTGATAGCGAGTCTTACAAATTCTGCATAAATCTGTAAAACACACTGCACATCTCAAGTATTACAGACAGGACCCAGAGCTAGATCAACTGCCCCAAAGTAGATCTGCTAAAAGGAATGAATGTAGCTGGACCTTGCTGAAGAATGCAGTACTCGCACCGACAGAAGATCTAGAAGCAATAATCTAACACAACCAAAAGTCAAATCTGATCTGTAAGGCAGTCTGTGAAACAAACAAGCAGATAATTGCAATGGTTTCCAGCTGGCCTCATATCTCAAATTTTCCTGCCTGGTCTATTGTCAGTTATTGCACATCAAGGCTTTCCTTTTAAGAGGCATGGGTAAGAAGCCAAATAATTCTTCACTGGGTGGGAACATTACACTGAGTCTGTCTTTCTTCAGTAACGTTTATCTTCTTGCTATCAGCTCTCTTCTTCAAAAATGAAAAGACAGAAAAACAATGTACTAAAAAGTAATTAAGTTTGTATCAGGAAGAATAGCACGCATAAGAATTTTTCATTTTCCAGAAAAGTAAAAACTTACTTTCTACAGATCAGTATTTTGTAGTTATTGGTGGTACAGCCTGCTAAAGCCACTCATTGATCACTCATTTGAGCTAAAAATTGAGTACCTAGATTTAAGATCCAAATGAAAACCAGAAATACATTAACAGTGCACTTGTAGTTAAAAAGGTTAAAAAAGATTTTTTTTCACCCCACATTCATTTACATTTTCGCATGGGCAAAAATAGCAACTCTGGTTAAAGCAAAGTATTACTTCTTTTGGAAGGTAAAGTAAGTATACGTGAAGAATCAAAAGATGTTCATTGTAACTGATAGGAAGAGGACCAAAAAAGAATGGCCCAAAGCAGATAGCTATTCTACTGCAGAACACTTGCTGTTAAACTGACAGCATTCTTTCCCACCTTGCTTAAAGTTACAGATCTGAGACTCTGGCACAGAACAGAACTGTAAAACTCTCAGCAAAGAAAGCAAGAGCTTTTGACACAAGTTAATATTCTAGCACGATATCTAGTGCTGTTCTGAGAATCCCCTATCTTCCCCCTTGCAGAATATAAAGGCACGTCCTCCTTTTCCTATGACAAAACACGTTCCCTAAAATTTTATTCCTAGAAAAACATTACTGCCCAATATCACCGATACATCTGCAAGTGTTTGTCTCCAACATGCACTTAGTTACTGCTTCAGGGCAACTATACTTCGATGGAATAGTTGGCTTCAGTTGAATTCAACACCTTTGAAAAGGCTGGTTTTACATATCAAAAGTTGGAATTAAAAACTTGACTGGACAAGGGCCTGCACAATCTGGTCTGAAGTCTATGTTGTCCTTGCTTAGAGCAGGAATTTGGACTAGGCGACCTGCCAAGATCCTTTCCAATTTGGATGATTCTCTGATATGGCGCTCTTCCTACTCATAGAAACTTTAAAAATATAACCCAGGAATTGGATATTTTACCCAAGTTCTTGCACATAGTTTAATTCAACATGTTCTTGCACTTAGAAAAGTTGAAGAACTCAAAAAAGCCCCTCCAAAGTCTATACAGTAAAATATAACACACAAATCGGGAATCCTTTACATGCCTCCTCAGTAAATTACTTCAAAAATATTTACAGTGGATTCTCATTTTATTTCATTGCTTCCATTCTATACACTAAATTTTCAATTAACAGTATTTCAAAATAAAACCAGCTCCCAAGTTCACCATACTTTCCATTTCAAGACTTATGCATTTATAATACATGAAAGTTAGATTAGTAATAGCAAAGTAGACTGGCAAATTATTCAGTCAGAACTTATGAACAGCAACACCTTTGCATCATTTTGCCATGACTACTTTCCATAAGTGATAACTACTATACAATGATTAATGATCAAAATGCACATCAATTTACAGTATTCACAAAGATAGACTTGCCACATGAAAGCATGAAAAAGGCAGCAGCCTCTCATACAAAGTAAAAGTGACTCTGCACATGCTTGTTTTATTTGTGAAAATCACCCCCTCCCCAACTTTCATGATATTTACTGATGAAACCACAAAGGACTAAGTTATTTAGAATGATCAGCACTCATTTTCAGGCTGAAAGTCTTGATTTACTAGGGGAAGAGGGCAAAAATGGTACATTTCAGTAGTTTGCTTGCACATAAACAGACTTAATTCTGCTCCACAAAATATCTAATCCAGCAGACTTTAAATGAAGGACATCAGTGCTAAACAGTAAGTAAATAGTTGTGTACATCTCTCTGATCTAACAAAAGAGAAACTCTAGAAATAGCCAATTAATTTTTTTATGCTTTCTATACACTCTGAACACTGATACTACAGACGTTCGTAAGATTATTCTACTCTTACATGAAGTACCAGAGCAAAATTAAAACCTGAAGTTGAGTAAAAGTTGACTAAAAATGGCACTTACACATGCACACATCAGTTTCTAATTTGCTTTATTCACACACTTTAGTTACTGTAAGCCTTGCAAACAAACTGCAAGACGGCCCAGTTTGCATTCTGTGCAACTTTGCCCAAACCCAAGTTTTTGTTATTTTTTACAAAGAAAGATTCCTTTGCTGTCTTCTGCCACACTGCAGCAAAGTAAGAAGTCTTCTGTGTACCTGTAAATTATGACATTTATGTCTACTTAAGTTACTTTTACAGTTTCTATTTTGCTCACAGCTCCATTAACAGTGAAGTTGAAAACATCTTTAAAAGACCAGTAAACTCATCAGTCTTCCACTTGCAAGTTCTTACAACTTATGAAAACAAATTTCTTTGAACTGGCTAACAGTCCAAACCAAATAACATATGTGATGCTTACAAAACAGATATTAAGAATTCATATCCATTCCTTAAGTCAGTTAACTGGCAAGAAGAAAGGTAAATCCTCACTCCAACCACATTTAAAATCCGATTCCCTTCTGTATGACTGCACATTATATATTCAATTTGTGTCTATAATTTTAAATTTAAACAGTACTTTTTTAATTACACTTAGGAACCTATATCCCCATTTTTAAAACAAGTTCTTGTACAGTGTAAGGAGAATCCACAGAGTGGATTCTTCAAAAGTCATTTTCTAAGCCATTTTAAACAATAATTAGGTTAGTAAGTCAATCATGTCCATGGTGCTAAATACACACCTGAACAGATTAAGAAACATTTTGAAGCAGTGTTGAGTAAATAATTTTGGTAAGCTGTAAAACTGCCACATGCAAGGTATACTGTACTATAACAGCTCCAAATCCTTTATAAAAACCTGGCATTCCTTCTTCCCGTTTTATAGTATTTATGCAGTCTCTCATCCCCTCATACTGAGTATTGATCGGAAGCACTTCATAGCCAAGGTCTGTATTATCAATTATTGTGCGTGTCCCTTGAATATGAAGGCGGTGTAAAACTGTCTCCAGTGGGTAAAGCATGACATCAGCACAAAGGCTAGCAGCAAAGCTAGCAATAAGTTCTGGAAAATACGCATCGAGCATGCTCTGCACAGAAGCAGAGCTCTCAGTTGGAAGGTGGTGGGGATTATCTCTTTTCAGAACAAACAAAACAAGCTTCTGGACAATGGAACTGATGACATAGTGAAGAACTCCATGTAGAGCAGTTGGAAAAGTCAAGACCATCAGAGGAAGGAGACGCTTGCTATGGGGTACGCCCATGCCTACAACTCTGCCGAGTCCTTCTTTCACACAGTCCAGGATGCCAGGATTATCTCGAATTATTTCACTCTACAAGCACAAAGGAATAGTTACAACTTGTGCTGCCCATTTCATAACCACGCTGACATCCACTTTGACACTTTACCACTGCTGAACTTTAAAAGAGAGTTAAACATTTACATGCCATTGTATCTACACAGCTATACTGATATGAATTCTTTGCTCTAACACTCTTGATAGCATGCAAGTAAATTTCTTTTAAAAAATGAACACATCTTAAAGAGTCTTTATTTAATGTACATTCCAGTTATTTGTGCCACTATCAAAGAAATTAAACTTTCAGCCTACTGCTGAGTAGTATGAGTCTGCCAAACAGTCATGTACTGAAAATGCCTATTTCCAGAGCAAAATGCCAGGAAGTATTTATGTAATTTAAAAGTCCCTTCCTTTAAGGACTATAACTCTGGTCTTTGAACTTGAATGTGCATAATAAAGACTTCCATAACTAAAGTTGAGTTGAAAGATCATTTTTAATTTGAATTTAATAGGTTCAGCTCTGCACATTTCCATTCCATTATTTGCATGTAAAACAGTACTCTTTACCCATGCTGTGTCTCAGAAAAGATGTAATTATTTTGTTCACGTAGTGAAAATAGAGAATTCACTTAGTAATTACTTACTCCGTTATACTCCACCTATGACTGTAGGAATAAGCTAAAGACATTGATTCCCCTTCTAATGCTTATACAAACTCAGTGTTTTATCATCTCTGTTACATCCAAAATTCAGGATTTGGGAGTTCTCAATGCCCAAGTCTCTAAGTCCATGCTGGCTGCGTCCTGACCTCATGCCAGGAAAAACCACCAGAACATTCCTCAGTACTTTGGGGAAGGACTGAAAGCCTGTAAAGCCTTCATGGTCAGTCTGCGCAGAAGAGAAACTAGTTCAAATACTTGAGAATTTAACGTTGTTCCAGACTTTAAGTAGAAGTTAAGCATCATAACCCCTACTGCATCCTCTTCTCATAGTCACTGCACTTCAAAACTGTGCTTGCTTTTGTCAAACACGCCACCACATGGTTTAAAATGTGAGAGACAAAACCGGTAACGTCACAGAGGTAAGTTTCTACCATTTACAGTTATTTTGATGAAATACATTTACTTGGAGAAGCGTGTCAAACTAATACTGTTGAACAGTATGGTTTATCAGAATTAAGACAATCAAAGTTAATATAAAACTGCTAGTAACAAATCCCACAATCTTTAACTTCTATTGCTTGTTATTGGTCATTGTCCTCTTGCAGCACAGGAATATAATGTAAACCTGATAAGCCAAGTTGCCTCCCTCCACTGATTAATACAGCATAAATAAAATCTTCACAAATGCTATCATTACCTCCTTTGTGTTTCTAATAAGAAAGCTCATGATGATGTTTCCAGGAACTAGAAAATACATTTCATACAGCATATGTACACCTATTCAGTAAAATACTTGCACACAGCTGAACCTACTATGCCTAAACTCTCAGATCTCAGTGGAGTTATTTTCATAAGCAATGCTTTACAGAGATGATCATCTATCTAAAAGGCTACGGGAGATGCTGTTTTGGCTTTTTGATTGTTTTCCTATTAAGCTGCTTTCTAGCAAAGAAACTTTATTACTTATTTTGCCAACAGAAGACAGTGTCTAGATCATGTTCTCTTTTATCTTTTATTGGTAAATGTTCCCATGTCCAACAACACAGATCTTTCATCCTTTCTGACAAAAATACAAGCAGTAAGATACCTGAATAAAATATTCCATTCTGTGGCCTGCTACGAACTCAAGACATGAACACTGTTCTACCACTGTTTCTAGTTCCAGGATTATGGCATGCTCAGGGTAAAGCCATTCCCCAGGATATAAGAGTTTCCTAAGTCAGCTTCTTAATATGAGACCAGTTAAATCTTCCCAAGGCTTCCACAAACTCAGAAGTCCACTCAGGCAGGATTTATGGAACATTATTTTCAAAGTAATTCAGACGGAGAGAAGCAGAGGGTTTCTTAAATACAGAGTAACTTTAGAGAATGCGAGTTTGTTGTTGGGAGTCTAGCTACATGCCCACATGCACAGACGTTTAATCTCACCTGTCCTGTTAGTCCACAATGTGGCCAGTTCAGACAGAACAGCCTTCCTAGTACCTTCCGGCTCCTTTAAGGTTGGAACCCCTGCACAGAGCAGAATTCTGTCCCTTAAGAGCACCTGCCTCTAAAGTACATGCTGAAACTAAGAAACTGTAGAAGTCAGCCTTGTTTGCCTCTTCTCCACAGAAAAAGCACCATTTTGTAGAAATACACCAGCAGTTAACTGTAGATTTGAACAGCTGGATCTAAATCAGTCTTAACTGTACTTACAACTTGCCTATACTATCAATGAAAATTATTATTTTGATGACTGAATGACATTAGAGTGACTATCCTGCACCATCCTCCACACAAGAGCTCACGTTACAGTAAAAGTTCCTTAGCTGCACAAAGATACTATCATGTTAATTAAAAGCAGCTCATTATATAGAGATAGCTGGAAGAATTACCCTGGACCACTTCTGCATAGCTAAACCCTGTCTCTTTCTCCAGAAAGAGATGCAACAACTAACTGAAAGAATCTGCAATACAGTGCTATGGGTTACTCTGTACAGTTATAGAACAAGTTAAGCTGTATCTTAAGTGACAGGTCCAGATATTTATTTTCACGGCTAAGGAAGAACTAGATGAAAACTTAAAAGCAAAAAGTTGACTGAATTGAAAGCAGTCCTGAAATAGTAGAGTTCAGTATTTTAGCAAAACAAAGCTGAATTACTGGAAAAGCTTTATAGTTTTTATAGGGGAAGGGGTCACTGCAACAGCTTGCCTAGCAACCTTTTTAAAACCTTTACATGACAAAAACTTCTTTATGTTTTTTCTGCTAGAACATATAGATGTAACTTGTCCTTATTTCGCAGACAATATACTCCAACTACATCAAATGTCCTTTCTAATTCTAGATTTAGACTTAAGATAGTACAACTAATATATCCACCATAGTAAATAGTTTTTATCTCAGTTAATAAGCCATACAGCCTCATGCAAAACAAATGTAACTACTGCAACATAAACCTGAATCTAAAGCCAAAGATTCACTTCTCCACATAATCTAATCCATAAAGAGAATAACAGTATCTTTTAAAATGTTGTAAGTATATGTAAGTTACCTGTACAGTTTCAACCAGGCTCGCAGAATAAAAAGGCATTGCTATCACATGTGTTAAACTGTAGAAATTAACAAAATAAGAATTAAGGTCAGGACAATACTATAATTTTAGCCAAATACGCACCTGAAAGTTGATAAAGATATCTACCAAGACATGCCTGAGAGAAAATTAACAAACCATAACTCAATTATTAAAATGTGCATCAACAAGTTGAGATAAACTTCAGTCTGAAGTTCTGTTAAATTCTATTTCCATGTGACCAGTCTGATTCAGGTCTCTCAGATACCGTAATTTAATTACTAAAAGAATCTAATCCTTTAAGTCAGTCAGGTTCCACACAGACACCGGGATCTACTGAGAAAAAAATAATCTGTGGAAGTGGTGTATGCAATCAAGATTGTTCAAAAGAATAAAAATCTGAAAATTACTATTAGCACCCTGTCAAGTAACCATAGCTGCAGATTAAACTAATGTACATTTAGTAGTTTTGTTAATGTTTACATAAAAAGACATAAGGTAATAACACATGCTACACTTACCCTTTGAGTAGAAGGTGTCCACCGATCTGCTTGAGGTTCCATTTATGTGAAAGCTCCCTAAAAAGACAAGTATTTACCTTAATATGGACAAGAACATGTTATTCTCAAGCATTTCTTCCATGGGCATCACCATCCAGTTTTCATATTGGTGTTCAACTATCAGTTTACATTGCAGGGTTTCGCATATGGGAAAGACACATCAGCTACACATTTAATAAATCATGCTTAACTTTTAGAAGTTACTTGGGCCTGTTAGATATTCTGTCAAAAAAGCTTTCAATTATTAGTAAGGTGTCTGTAGCTCTCACAGCTACTGGCTTTATTATTTTGCATTTATTTTGTATCCTTATGTACCAACTCTTAAAGACATTTTCAGGGAATACTGGATTATTGCAAAATCTCAGTAGTTTTCTGTTATCAACATACATTTCTTATTATGTTTTGGTTTGGTTATGCTTTTTCTTTCTTTGAGGTTATGTTTACCCAGTTGTTTCTTTCCTGAAAACCTAAATCACATTCTGACACAGTTCAACATGGACCAAATCAAGTACAGTAGTAGGTCAGACTAGAAGCTGCATAGTAATTCTGTACAGACTTAACTCAAGTCTTTTGGCATAAAACCAGTCTTCAGCGTATCCTGGTAAAACAAGAGAAAACCCATGTGTTCAACACAAAGGTGACTTTAAAAAAATCCCATTAAAGTAGTATTTTCTAGTTACACACTTCAAAATATGAAGAGTAAATGTTAACTACACTCCACTTGGCAGAAAATGTAATCCCACCTAGCTCAAGGTAACATTCAAATACTCTAGCTATGAGGTAAAGATATTTGTCTGAAACGTTAGACATACTAGACTATGCATTTTTAATAACAAGCTATAAAGTGTTCAGTTTCAATTCTTGCCCAGGAATCTACTCACTCACTGCCCGTAGCTACAACGCAAATCCAAGAAAAGATACTCTTTACTCTTTCTGAAGAGCTGTGTGTTCCTAGTAGCTAACACTTTTCTAACTACATAGGTCAGTCACTAAAGAAGAAGGGAAGATCATTTACCATTATGTGTTTCAGACACTTAGATCACATCCTCTAAGCCATAACACTTAAAAGATGTGGAAAACGAAACCAGTTAACCTAATGTGTGAAAGCCTAACTTGTCAATCCACCAGCTGTAACTATTCCTGCAGCGGAAGAACAATTAACAGAGTAAGTTTGTCTAGTACAGAACAACATTCAACTTGCTGCAAAAATGTCAACACCCATTTCTGGGCTGCTCTACTAAAACAGGGGGATTCTTTTATAATATTATGATATAGAATTGGAATGGACATCTCACTTCCTTGTGTCCTTTGGAGCTTGATAATGTAGTGAAATAACCTTTTAAATCAGATTTGCTGGCACTGCTGCTATAAGCAATAACCTTCCCCTCCCTGTGACAGCCCAAACATGCATGCAACCATTAAAAAGGGAGAGCATCCAGTAGAAAACTGCATGGGGTCGTGCATGTACAAGACAGCCATTTTAGCCAGATCACTTCCCCAATCCAGTTCTTCGTGACTGTTCACATACTATGTTGGCACAAGGATGGGAGTAGCACTGAGGATGGAGTAAGCAGGTACTAGCAGAAAGGATTGCTTCTTGGCAGCAGCACCAGCTTACTTTTCAAACTACTGAACAACTGGCCCACAAGAAGAAAAACCTCGCTCACATTGGACAGAAATCAGAACTACAACAATACAAACACTATATCACATCCCATGAACTTAAGCATCCCCTACAGCAATATTTAAAAACAAGAACAATAAGTCACACTTGGAGGAAAGTGTATGCCTGGGAATTTCAGTTACATGTGAGACAGAGCTGACCAAAAATCTTCAACACACACTCCACACAACTGAAGTATGAAATGCTTTTGCTAATGCTTTTGATGAATGCCAGAACCTGCAAAGACTTACTTCTATTACTATGCATGCATGCGTGCATCATAATAGTAGTTTGATTCAGCCTGCCTACATTTCTTATCTTTAAAACCAAGCTAGTTTCCATGTCACTGAAGTACTTGGTCTCTGTACACACATTAAAAATAGACACTTGTCTCTTCTGAAAGCTAACATGATTCTCAAGCCCACTGGTCCATTCAAACTTCACCAGCCTTAAACCCAGCTACCTGCCTGGATCCCTAATATATTTTCCAAGACAGGTCCTTATTTTCCTGGTTTCAGTGTGTGCCCTGCAACTGTTAAGTATCCTCTCTTAACTTTTGATTATCTCACAGTCTCCTTGCATTTCACTAGGAGTTTTAGTTACTTTATACAATAAACTCTCTCGAACAACCTGCTTACTCTTAAAATACCTGTAACAAAACCAACAATATGTAGTATTATACTTGTCAGCCCTTACTGTCAGCTCTGGGCCATTATAAAACAAAACATGGATAAAAAGTCTTCAGCCAGAAATTCTTTATCAGACTTTATCTCAAAGCAGAAAGACATCACAGTGTTTTACCATAATCCTGGAGTTATAGTTCAGCATAAAAAGCAGGCAGAGTCACACGTCAAAATAAAAAAATATTACTGAACTACTATAGCCGAATATGGACACAGTGAAATAGAGTGGTATCTCTTCAAATTAGACATGTAAGTTTTCTGTATTTAGATTAATGAAACTAGGACTTTTTACTTTACACATGGTATTTGCTAGTACCACACAATACAAACCAAAACACAAAAAGAAACTTATGAATTCTTTTATTAGAGTGGAATTACACTGAAGACCTATCTCCTATGTTACTCCTATACTCAGACCAGTAGGCAGACATACCAAACATATGAAGCTCCCAGAAAGAGTCCTCACTATTTATTAATTACAAGGTTGTCTTGGCAAAGACAACTACACTGTGCTGAAAATACCTATTCAATGTCTGACTGTTCTAATCAAGTAAAAGTTTTCAAACAGCCTTACATTTCTAACACTTTCAATATAAGTCAACAACTGATGATTAATTTGTTAGAAGCAATAAAAAACCCATGCAATACCTTGGCAAAGGTGTAAATTCACTGATGATGCCTTCTGTTCCCAGGGTTATGCCTTGAACAATGAAAGTGCTGCCCATTCCCTTCCAGAGAGCTCTTGGACCCTGTGTTTTGAAATATGCAACATAAAACTCAAAAATCTTTTCAACTTACTAATTTTTATGAAATTTCAGCAAATTCAGACTGCACAGGGATATGACTCTACTGTTCAGCTTCACTATTACCAAATTCAGGGGACAACTAACTTTTCAACTCTGAAGAAACTTCTGCTCTTCAATAATTTCAAAGTTGCCAACAATTTTGGAGGCATATCTCTCACTGTTAATACTCTGTACTATAAACTTAACACCATTTTCTATGGACAAAATGAGCTTCAGATGTTAAACCACATCTGTAAAATTCAAAAAGTCTTTTCTTACTGTCTTCTGATCTGAGTTTCAGGATTGCCATTCTCATGCAGAATTGGAAATTCGTGCAATACTATCTTCGGAAGTAGTCATTTGGATAATCTCTTTATACACATAAACACTAATTATTTTTTTAGAATGCTAATGAATAGAATTAGTTTTCGGGATCTTTTGTTTTCTAACATCTGCAAATCTCTCCCATTAAATACTATACTACTTAAAAAAAAAGTCAGTGATCTCCTTGACACATTTCTGCAACCATAAAAATAACAAACTCTTACAATGGCCATGTTTTTAACCACCAGTTACATAAAGAGTAAAAGATAGCTATGTACTATGTGCTATAGTAACCTTCACTGCTCAGATACAGCCTGACACCAAATACTGACCTGTGTCTTATTGATGCTGTACATAATATTGACAATAGTAAACGGAGTGAGATGATAATTCCGAGCATGATAGTTAACCTGTTAAAAATACAAATAATGGCAGTTTTTATAAACACTTACAGATGCTACAACTCTAAAGGAAAAAGCGCTTCCAAAATAAGGACTTTTTCTCTGTAAAGATCAGCTAAAATGACCAAAACATGAATTCATTCTCTCTGAAATTTAGGGAAACAGGCAGAACTTTTATGTATTTGTATGCCGAAAATGTAAACAACAAAACAAGCATAAACCAGAAAACAAAGCATCCTGCTTGTAAATGGCAATCTGGAAGTTGCTCCACAGACTCTGAACACTTACTTGCTGTAATTCACCTTCCACTGCCCAAAAATGATAAATAAGAATGTTCAAGATAGGTATGCTACAAATAAAAACATGTTAATATAGCAGTATCTCCCTAAGAATTGTAAAGCTTCCTTATACTCTACAGAGTGTGAAAACATGAAGTATCACAGTACACAGGAGCTCTGACTGGAAGAGGTAATATAAAAGACATACCTGACACTGACGACGTAAAACAATGCAAGGATGTGCCAGCACATTTTCTGTAAATAGGCTTTAAAAAAAAAAAAAAAAAAAAAAAGAAGCGTATTTAAAGCATGGGAAGCCATCAAAAATTTATTAGAAAAAGCTTGTTATTTTTCTCTAACAACATTAGATCAGTATTTGGAAAAATATACATTGTCTAGTGAATTAATGAGGCACTTTAGATGGCTACCTAATAGCCTGCCAATACTATAAAGGAACACATATCAAAAAACCTGACACATGCACTCACTACAAAAAAGCCCCTATCTATCTATCTATAGAATGTATGTATTTTTATAGGCAAAACAACATACCAAATTTCTTAAAACTTTCCCTCTGCAAAATATGAGGGAACAGAACAGGCCAGAGCCAGAATTATGAAAGGATTAGTTTCCAGTTTTATGTTAATTCCGCGTACCACATTATTAATCAAGACTCTCCTTAGGAGGAGGGCCAGAGGATTGGTACTAACAGCTGACATTTTTTAATCGGAAAACATTACTGCCCAAAACCAACTCTCCCTCCACCCCCAGAAATGGTATTTCAATCAAACCTCCATAAGAAAGTTCTCTCAGTTCTAAAGTAGTATTCCTGGTCACAGCCACGCAGAGAAACTTTTCATTTCATCTCAAAGTGCCCGAGTGATCAGAGTACTTACTCACCTGTATGTGGTTCAAACCTGGGATATGGATTAGAAAAGCAAGACCTCCGGGCTTTATCTAAGCACCCCAACCCAAGTAAGAGCTCTGACCACTGACCTACAGGATCACCTGAGCTAGGTCTCTTATGGGGATTTTACTCTGGATAAACAAGTACTAATTGCACAGAAAAGTACTGAGCCTGCAGTTTCACAACTATTAAGCTAATTAGCAGTTTGCTACTACCGAAAAAGGTGAAACTTTCCCTGTACTCCGACTGTTATCTATTAAGCCCTCCTGGTAGCCAATTCAACTAGCCTCACAAAAACTAACCTTTTCCTTTGGGTGTTTTCTACAAGATTTCTGACTTGAACCATGTGTGTCTGACAAGTGATCTGGTACAAATGCAAAAGCAGAAGCAGGGAGAATTGCTCTCAGCAATGATACAATGTTGATCCACTCTCTTTCTCAAAACCACAAGCTCATTTTAGTCCTAGTGGCCATGGTGCTCAGGATGTGGAAACCTTTCTCATGCTTGATTAAATCAAAGCATATAGTTCAAAAGGACAACTGAGCCACCCCAACATCTCTCTGCTCCTGAAGGAGATCAACACGTTCCTGCCCTACGGCTCCCCTTCTTTGCTGGTACTCTCCTGAGCTCACTGAGCTTGGTAAGGTTGGAAAGAAACCGAACAACTCTTTACATGTTTGGGGGGGCTAGTTCTTCCCCCTCCCCCTGATCAACTCTATTTTAACAGGTTCATCAAGGGGTCTGAATGAGCAAGCTCAGCCACTGCAAGGGATGCAGTGGGAGAAGGACAGGCAGTTTAATGAGATGGGATGATCTAAGCAACTCACTACTCGCCAAAAAAAGTCATTCATAGTCCTTCTTTATCCCTTCCCTCACTGGCCCAGTTAACTGGTGTCTGCTGGCTTTCACAGCTAATCAACTCCCAAGTAAATCAACCTAACTGAAACAGCAAAAAAGAATCCAGCTCTTTCCTTGACTTTATCTTCTGTTTTAGTGAGTTGAACAGGTTAAAAGAGGTTCTGATGGGCATCAAGGGTGATAACAATGGGGTAAGGAGCAGGACTGGCTGGTGGTCAAGTAAGAGGTCCTCCTCTTTAAGCAGAAGGCCACTATAAGAACCTCAGCTGACATAGCTTCCCATATTGGTCTAACTGGGTAAGTGACACAAGTACTCTCATGTTCTGAAGAGAGAAGCACTCTTCTTAGAAGTCTCACATTCAGGTCAACAAGGAGTAAAACTTTTTTTAGTCCTAACTTTTTCAAGACAAAAAAACAACCCACTTCCCACCCTTTCACAAGTTGCATCAGTACATTGACCAAGAAAAGCCTAATAAGGTGAGTGTGATTAAGCAGGCATCCCGCAAAAAATCCCAAGCTTATCATCATCCTTACACTTGACAATTTAAGCTCGAAAATGTTGTTAAGCATGTTAAAGTCCACCACTTTCTCAAAAATACTACCAATAATCACTGTCACCATAATAAAGAATAAAATGATTATTGGACCACTTGGCTAGAGTAACATTACTATTCCAGGATAGTTTGATAATATACTTGAAGACATTTTCACCTTCTTAGGAAACAGCCACACTACCTAAAAATATTAATAAAAGTGGCAAATGTGAACACAGTTTTCTGGTGTTATTTTCAGATTGCTCTGATAGGGTACACATACCCTGGGCACACCGTACGAAAAACTGTTTCTTATATTCATGGCTGATTAAGTAATTTTGAGAACACTTCAGTTAAAGAGAACAGAAACCTACATGGATTTCAGGTAGCAGGTTTATAAAGGCATTTCAACTGTATAAGTCTACCAGCATAAAAATACAACACAAAAGTGTACATAGGGATCATAAGACAACTATAGCTTTACTACTTCATTATCACTGAAAATCATTACACAACTCTTACCTTGCAAGGCCAATACCAAAGCCTGCAAATCTGTTCAACTGCTCTGAAAAAAATAAAAACAGATTATACAGCAGTGATAATCACAAAGTGGGAGAAAATGCCATGCAGACTATCTGAAAAACTAATTTTACACTGTACTTGCTTCAGAAAGTACATACTTTTATAAACAAAATTATTCTTGTCTTAAGACAGCTATGGGGTGGGGGGGGGAAGAGAGACAAACTGAACGCAGACCAACCTCTGAAAAAGTTAGCATGCATGACAGTTTACAGTAATTCTGAAATACAAATTTTGTCATCTGAGGTGAAATTAAGTTTAAAATAAAAAACAGTAAAAAGAGGAACTTTGGGAAAAGTAACACAAAATGCCACTGATGACATAACAAACAACAACATGATGCAAATTTTCACGTCAGTTGTTTATCTCCACTCCTTTGCAAAAAGCTAGTTACTAGAGAACTGTTAAAACCGCAACAAGAGTAATGGGTTCTATTCTCTGTTGTCTGCTACCAGACAGACATTTACACATTGGGAATTATCAGAAGAGATTTTAAGAAGAGAATCAGAACTGTAAAGGCAACTGAAAATTAATGCTCAGTCCTATAATCTACAGGGTGCAAGCAGGCTGTAAGCACAGGTAATGCCAGTCACTTCAGTGGAGCTCCACACAGGCGTGGCAGCCCTCCTAAAAGGAATTATAAGACTCTCTCCACTTGCAGAAGCTTGACTCAGTGATACTGCAACTCCTTATGAGTCCTCCAAAATGCAGAATCAACATACCCTCCATGAGTAGATAGGACAAAAAAAAAAAAAAAGTAGAGTCCGAGTATGAAAGTCCAGGTAAGAGTTGTACTCATTACAACCTGAACAGAAACACTGCACTACAGGTTAAAAACCAGGAAGACTCACCCATTAATACAATTCAATTTTAAATAAATTAGTCTTTCATAAAACTTTGATACTCAAGTGTATATAAACTGCTCCAGAACATCCTTTTAATTAAAGGAGAGAATGTTCTGTAGCCTAGATTTAGCAAGTTTCTCTTAATTCACCTCAATCTCACAAAGACATAAAATGATACTGTACTTCCAAGGGTTTCTGCTCAGCTTCCCAACAATTACTGGAGAAGACATGAACAGTTTCTTCCTCAGATTCTACCAGTCCCATGGTTCCTTCACTATCATGCATGGAGGGAGGGTTTACTTCAGCAGCTCATGCCACACCCCTTGTACTTTTTCAACGGAACAATAAAGCTGCCAGAAGACACAAAGTCTGAAACATCAACACCAAGTAACAAAATATACTCAAGACCCAAAGGTACTTCCTGCCCTTACGGAAGACGGAGTATTTCTGCAGGATATCGTTTACATGGGCAATGGGGAGCTGACCACACGCTGCTTAACTAGAAGCTGCAGGGTGCCTTCTGGCACTCTCAGCCGTATTGGCCTGCAACTACGCGGTGCTACACAGAGAAGCGGGTGCTGGAGTGCAACAGGCGATGGAGCAGGTTCTCCTTCTTCTAAGGGACTTTTTTCCTGGCGCTTCAGCATCGCCGGCCCGCCGCCCCAACGCGTCTCCGGGCCCGCCGCGGCAGAGGTCAGCGCCAGCAAACCCGGGCGGTGCTCGAACGGGCGCGGCCAGGCCGCGGCACAGCCCCACGGCGGCCGCCTGCTCGCCCTTGCCCACCTCGGCGGGGCGCCCCCTGGCGGGCCGCCGCCGCCGC